CAGGGGTTCGGCCATTTTTAAAACGTGAATGCCCCACAAAAGTTTGTGCACGACCCATTGCGGACTCCCCAAATGCTTGCTTTAGCATTTCATAGGTTTCCGTAGCCGTTTTGGCGAGTCTTTGGCAAGAGATTCAGGCAGAATCGCAGATGGTGCTTGACAGGCTGACAAAGAAAGATTTCCAGGGATGCTTCCAGGCTTGGCAGCGGCGCTGGGATCGTTGTGTTCACTCCCAGGGGAACTACTAAGAGGGTGATGGATGAATTTAATACCTGAGATAAGTGTACGGGTTTTTATACGCGCAGTCTGGAAACCTTCCGATCGCACCTCGTATGTTCCTCAGAATGCTGGTACCCATTTACATGGCCATGTGGTGTTACAGAAGTCTTCAGAGTCGTGAGGACTACGGATTTTACGATCTCAACTACTCTGTATACGCCCTGATTACGTAACGCCTGCAGTATTGCAATTCGACTACATGCAGCATAGTAGTGTCGGAGAAGTTGCTGTACTTGCACGGCGCATAATTCTTCTCACTGTTGAACTACCGAACGTCTGCTCGTATAGCCTACATACATCAATAACAAAGCATATTACGGCCCAACGGCAGCCAAGGACGCAGGAGAATAACAATAAAGACAAAACAAAAGTGCAATAACACAGCGAAAAACAGAAAACAAACTAATAGTAACTTTGACGTTCAATAGATCGTTGACAAGCAGATCACAAAAGGCAAAACGCAATAGCTGTTATTTAAGTAACGCGAGACAAACAGAACACAGAAATAAACTTTGATAAACACAATAAGAATTGTACAAACATAATGGCGGCATGAGATGCAAATTGTATTTTATATTTTAAGTAATAATATAATTTTAAATTAGTGTTGATTAACAGATCCAGCCAGGAAAACTGATGTATTAGACCATGAAAGTACAACCTAAATTATAAGATATTGTAGGTGCGTCATATTGTGATTTTATTTAAAAATAGTATTAAAATATATTAAAATTGTCCGTCAATCACAATAAAGTATTATAAGATAATTATGTTTCATATGTAAATCGAGTACTCGATACGGAACAAAGGATAATATTTTAACCATTTAATTATCTTATAATACTTTATTGTGATTGACGGACAATTTTAATATATTTTAATACTATTTTTACAACCTAAATTATTCGAATTATATCAGCTGCAAAACTTATAACTTTTCAACTCATATATTACGTTCCATTCAAGATTTCTGAATACAATTACATGTTTCTATTATACTAAATTTAATACACTATTTTTTTTCAGTTAATGTTTCGCACAATTAAAAAATATATTTTAAATTTTGTGGAAGAATTATCTTCACAAAGGTTACATATTAAGGAAAAAAAAAACAGTGTTTCATTTGAAAAGCAATCCCAACTACAACAGTATTTGTAAGCTTTGGTGACATAAATGTAACAAGAGAAAACTAATAATTTTTCGTTTTTATTCGCTGGGAAGAACTTATTACGTACTTAGTTACTTCTGAACGCAGTTATGGACATCCAAGATTCCATGGACGCCGGGGGATTTACTGACTAGCAAAGCGGCTATCAGCTTATCAAAAGGACTGTCATCACGGAGTTAGGCCCATCTAATTTATTTTTTGTGACATGAAAGGTCTATATATCGCCTCCACATACACTGACCAGTCCTGACATCCATAAATATTAATTGAAAATTTCAAAACGCATAGCATAGCTCGCTTCATAAAATCATCATTTAGGATTTAATTAAAAATTGATTGGACGCTGTACTTTGGATTAAACGTGTTGAAGATCCTACTTCATACAAAACAAAGTTAAACCATTAATTAACTACGCAACTAGTAGAATCCTAACATGTGAAATACTCGGTTCCAGTATTCTCTGCATTACCGGTTGTACTGACCTGGTAAAATCACGCAATTTACTTCCAGGGACTTACTGCAGTCAGTACAGCGAATTACGGCCGGATAGCTCATAAGTGAGATTCAAAAGCGTTACTTCTGTCTCAGAGGTAAGATAAAAGGCGTATCGAACGAAGTGGATAGAATTTGACGAAATTTCCCACTTTCACATTAATTTTGCAATTAAGGAACCCAAATTTACTCGCAATAATAACGATGTTTGAGTAACGAAAGGCTGAGAAATCGATAACCCAAGTTTGTACCCTTGCTGTACTTAATAGTATTATAATATCAAAAATATCGTATTCGACGGCCAGAGTTTCATACGGCTGGGTATGCAAGCAACTCGGTGTTTCAACAACAACATCTCGAATATCGATTACTTTTGGATAAAAATAACTTGTAGAAAACAACGGAGTTATATTTGTTTGTGCACAAATTTCTCCCCTCAACGACTTGATTTGATCCTAATAAAATTTAGTGAAACTTAGAAGCGCACTTTCTCCCGCTCCCCTGTCACTCCACCCCTCAAAGATCCAAATACTCTCCTCTGCACCCTGTGCTCAAACACCCTAAACTACTGTAAACGCTACACATCTTTTAAGTTGTAAAGTTTACGTATCGTAAATTCTGCCCAGGAAATCGAACATTAAAAAACCTACATTTTTAAAAATTTTGTTTTTGTACAAATACGAAACTCGCCTGTTTATTTTATTTTACTTCTTTTGTTATTAAACTTCTCTAAATAAACCGCAGAAGTGACTCAGCTTAAAATGAGATATAAAACAGTGATAGCCACGGTGGTCTATCGGTTAGAACGCTGGCCTTGTAATCCTGGGGTCTCGGGTTCGATTCCCGGCGGTGCCCGAAATTTATAACTTGTGTTGGGCAAGGCCGTGGTCTAGGCAACACGGAGTTTTCCTCCGTGGCATCCCAACAATTACTCCATTCACACACAGAAGAAGGCAATGGCAAACCACTTCTGGATCATCTGCCAAGAACGTATATGAACAGGTCCCAGTCCGAGAAAAGGATGGAAGGATCCTGTTCATATGGACCTGGACCTGTCGTCAGACAGAACACTAAATAAATAATAAATAATAAAACAGTGAGTAGTTGGCATATTTAAAAGGAGTCCATCATGACCTATACGTAGATAATATTCCGGCATTCTAAGTAAAACTACAAAATAAATTATTTTAAAAGACCTGTGAGAAATTCCAAGTTCTGTCTGTGTTCTATGGGTATATCATCTTTAATCCGGCTACTCGCTACGTTACACAAAGGCCTAAAGAGTAGAGCTAATCTCGTGGACTGCCCCACTAAAGACAACCAAGCGTACACAAGGTCGTATGACGTGCTTCAGATGTTTACACAAAATATACTTGTCATCACAGACACTGCACGAAAGAAAATTGATTATCCATTCATCTTACAATTACAGCGGTTGGCAGCCTTCGTTGATTCAAGGACCTGTAAAATAGCAGCGGTAATCCGCGTACGGACCAGTTCCCGGTCTGCCTCACATTCCAGACTAAAAATGCGTCTGTAAATGTAATTACTTCAAGAACATATGATCGTGTTTGTTTGCAAAGGGTGGAGCGTCTATATTAGCCGCGTTAGCCATGCGAAAAAAAAATCTGCTGTCTTATATTCGTGGTTCCTCTCTGAAAAATTGATGTTACGAAAGAAATCCTTTTCTATTCAGGGAATCTGGATTCTAATTAAAACAGAGTAAGTAAAGAAACCAATGGATAAATAAATACTTTTAAAAGTATATGACAGTATTTCTAGTTGGAAATATGGGTTCAACATTTTTGAAAGTTTTGGGTTTATACAGAAGAGCTTATCTACAACAGAAAAACGTGGTTACGAAGACACACAAACTAAGGTTTATTCAGTATTCGTACCTGCTGCCTCCTCCAGGTGTTGGAGAGTTGCAAAGGTCCCACACGGATAGCATTGTCCAGCCAAGAAAGGGCGTGCTCTGGGCGCGAAGTGGGACATGCCATTTTATCCCCTCACTCCGTACAACTGCAGACACAAAGAACATTTTAAGGCGTAGTTTCTGAGAAAGGAGCTTCATAATTTACACTCTTTGTCAAATGTTGTTAGGTTTATCGAATCATGAAAGATAAGAAATTTATAAAGAAATTTTTGTCGGGAAACGTCTCGGAAGACCCACGCATAGATGGGAGAATCTTAAACACGGGGTTTAAGTAAAAAGTTGTGATCATATGGCCATGTGTCATCTAACGAAGTTACTGAGAGTCGAAAAATGAGTTTATGGCAGGAATTTCCAAATTAATAGAATCATCAGATAACTGAAAACAAGTGAACTATTCTGGATTCCGACATTATTGCAGTCTCAATAATAAAAAAGTTGTTTATAATTAACGAGGATTCGGCTGAACACAATTTAAACTTTAAACAGGCTCTCCTCCTCCTCCGTATAGGCGTATTAAGAAAAAGTGGGGCGTTGAGCTAAACATACAGCCTGCCACAAATATGCTACCTACATTCATTCTCATATGCTAAAATTATACAGATGACTCTCGTTATAAGCGGGAGCCGCGTTCCTGCAAATCGAAATCGCGTAAAACAGGAAACATGTAAGTACCCGTGGATTTTACGACTGATACACCGTGATAGGCCTTTATTTGTAGTCCTCGGGAGTCAAAAATATGGGAGGAGTCAGTAAAAATCTGCTAGCAACTCAGTGGGCGTTTGGGGCAGCTTCCACCGTGGCCTCGAATACACGGAATTTCTTTTTGTATAAAATACACTATGAGATGATAATGTTGCGTCATATTGTGATGATTATAATTGTTTAATTTTAACCGTCTAATCACAATAAAATATTTTATTAAATATTAAAATATTATTATTA